GTTCACGTCTAGAGTCTGGAAGGCGTTCATGAAACGTCTGGGGGTCTCGGTCAGCCTGACCTCTGGTTTTCACCCTGAGAGCAATGGGCAGGTGGAAAGGGTGAATCAAGATGTGGGTAGGTTCCTGCAGACCTACTGTCAGGACCGGCCGGGGGAGTGGTCGGTGTTCCTGCCATGGGCAGAATATGCTCAGAACTCTCTCCGCCACTCCTCCACTAACCTAACACCCTTCCAATGTGTTTTGGGTTACCAACCGGTCCTGGCACCGTGGCACCAGAGCCAGACCGAGGCTCCCGCGGTGCATGACTGGTTTCGGCGTGCGGACTTGGGACGCTGCCCACATTTGCTTCCAGCACGCTGTGCGTCGTCAGAAGGCCAACGCTGACCGCAAACGCAGTTGTGGAGCCGTTTAAAGTCCTGAGGAGAATAAACGAAGTGACATACAGGTTGTTACTACCCTCTGATTACCGTATTAACCCCTCATTTCATGTGTCTCTCCTCAGGCCGGTGGTAGCTGGTCCGCTCCAGGAGTCTGAGGTACGGGAGGTTCCTCCACCTCCTCTGGACATTGAGGGGGCCCTGGCGTACTCGGTCCATTCCATCCTGGATTCGAGGCGTCGGGTGGGGGACCTTCAGTATCTCGTGGAGTGGGAGGGGTACGGTCCGGAGGAACGGTGCTGGGTCCAAAGTCAGGACATCCTCAATCCCTCCCTGTTGAGGGATTTCCACCGTCGCCATCCGACTCGCCCTGCTCCGCGTCCTCCTGGCCGTCCCTGAGGCCGGGGTCAACGCACTGCTGGAGCCGCACGTCGGGGGTGGGGGGGGGGGGGGGGGGGGGGGGGGGGGTACTGTCACGACTTCCGCCGAGGCTGCCCACCCTCCTGGTTCGGGCAGGCTTCAGCGTTCGTTGTCACCGGAGTACTAGCTACTGCCGATCCCATTCTCATCACTCCACTTGTCTTGTCATGTCTTGTCAATCACACACACCTGGTGCTCATTCCCCTAATTAGTATGTGTATAAGTGTTCCCTCTGCTCCCCTTGTCTTTGTGAGTGATTGTTTGTTGTGAGTGCGGTTGAGCTACATTTCACTGTGTTATTGCCAAGGTGGATGTTTTCCCTTGTATAGTTTCGTTTGACGCTTGGGGCGTTTGATTTATGCAAACGGAATAAACTCTGGACTTCGGTATTTTACCTCCTGCGCCTGACTCCTTCTTTCACACCTCGTCACAGACAAGCTAATATGTCTTACAGAAAGTCATTTTCAAGGTTCTTGCGATACCCATTTTAAGAGACACATGGTATTTTGAGCTTCCACATTTTAAGTAGGTAATTTGTATCTTATTGAAGTTCAATTTCATTTGTATCGCTATAATGTTTCAAATAATTATGGAGAACAAAAACATAAACGCAAAATGTAAAGTGCTGGTCCCATGTTTCATGAGCTGAAATAAAAGATCCCCAAATGTTTCCATACGCACAAAAAGCTTATTTCTCTCAAATTTTGTGCACAAATTTGTTTGCATCCCTGTTGGTGAACATTTATCGTTTGCCAAGATAATCCATCCACCTGACAGGTGTGAATGGATTATCTGTGGACAATAAAAGGCTACTCTAAAATGTGCAGTTTTGTCATACAACACAATGCCACAGATGTCTCAAATTTTGAGGGAGCGTGCAATTGGCATGCTGACTGTAGGAATGTCCACCAGAGCTGTTGCCAGGTAATTTAATGTTAATTTCTCTACCATAAACTGCCTCCAACGTCGTTTTAGAGAATTTGGCAGTACGTCCAACCGGCCTCACAACCGTAGACCACGCCAGCCCAGGACCTCCACATCCGGCTTCTTCACCTGCGGCATCGTATGAGACTGTATGGGTGATTGTTGACCAAGCGACGGGCCCTCAAGGTGTTTTTGAGGCCGCAGCTCTGGTTGTCAAGGCTGGCCTGCTAGACAAATATTGCCCGACCGAAGCCCCTATTGGTCACTGAAGCAACTTTTTGGGTGTAACTACTCATTATGGCTCGAGAGTAGAACCACATTGCAGCTACTCTTGATGTTTCTGATTTAGTATAAAACTATTGAATCCATGATAGTTTCAAATGATCATCTGAATTATGAGGGATGCGGTGCAGTCCCTTTTTATAGTTCAATGGGGATGACGTTACAAGCGATTTGCTTTGTTGGTTATTGTGTCATATGATTACGTCACTGCCGAGGAAAGCTATAAATAGCGGGTACAGCCGCTCAATCTGAATAGTTTCAAATGTCATCTATCATCATAATACCAGGACGCAGACACTCCTCTCGTGCTCGCCCAGTCCCCCAGGAGGCTCAGACCCAGGACTGTGAGACGTAGGAAGCATGGGAGCAGAAGGAGACTGTGTGGGACCAGAAGGAGGCGTTAGGCTGTGTGGGACCAGAAGGAGGCGTTAGGCTGTGTGGGGGCAGAAGGAGGCGTTAGGCTGTGTGGGACCAGAAGGAGGCGTTAGGCTGTGTGGGGGCAGAAGGAGGCGTTAGGCTGTGTGGGGGCAGAAGGAGGCGTTAGGCTGTGTGGGGGGCAGAAGGAGGCATTAGGCTGTGTGGGACCAGAAGGAGGCGTTAGGCTGTGTGGGGGCAGAAGGAGGCGTTAGGCTGTGTGGGACCAGAAGGAGGCGTTAGGCTGTGTGGGGGCAGAAGGAGGCGTTAGGCTGTGTGGGACCAGAAGGAGGCGTTAGGCTGTGTGGGGGCAGAAGGAGGCGTTAGGCTGTGTGGGGGCAGAAGGAGGCGTTAGGCTGTGTGGGGGGCAGAAGGAGGCATTAGGCTGTGTGGGACCAGAAGGAGGCGTTAGGCTGTGTGGGGGCAGAAGGAGGCGTTAGGCTGTGTGGGGGCAGAAGGAGGCGTTAGGCTGTGTGGGGGGCAGAAGGAGGCATTAGGCTGTGTGGGACCAGAAGGAGGCGTTAGGCTGTGTGGGGGCAGAAGGAGGCGTTAGGCTGTGTGGGGGCAGAAGGAGGCGTTAGGCTGTGTGGGGGGCAGAAGGAGGCATTAGGCTGTGTGGGACCAGAAGGAGGCGTTAGGCTGTGTGGGGGCAGAAGGAGGCGTTAGGCTGTGTGGGACCAGAAGGAGGCGTTAGGCTGTGTGGGGGCAGAAGGAGGCGTTAGGCTGTGTGGGACCAGAAGGAGGCGTTAGGCTGTGTGGGGGCAGAAGGAGGCGTTAGGCTGTGGGGGCAGAAGGAGGCGTTAGGCTGTGTGGGACCAGAAGGAGGCGTTAGGCTGTGTGGGGGCAGAAGGAGGCGTTAGGCTGTGTGGGGGCAGAAGGAGGCGTTAGGCTGTGTGGGGGCAGAAGGAGGCGTTAGGCTGTGTGGGGGCAGAAGGAGGCGTTAGGCTGTGTGGGGGCAGAAGGAGGCGTTAGGCTGTGTGGGACCAGAAAGAGGCGTTAGGCTGTGTGGGGGCAGAAGGAGGCGTTAGGCTGTGTGGGGGCAGAAGAAGGCGTTAGGCTGTGTGTGATGGTCTGTTGGAGGTTTCAGATTCAGACACGTTCTGATATGATGTATTGCTTACAAAGATCCCACTAAGCATTTACCAATGTTTTGGATGTCTTTTTTATTTTATTTCAACATCTAAGGACGTCGATTTTTGGTCAGACCAAATCTGAATCAATCATAGAAGGTCTATGTTTGGTTAAGATTTTGTCGGATCTGGACCGGCCTTGATTTCAACATCCACCGAAGTCCAGTCCGGACCAGCCTATATTTGGCCCAAACATAGATATCTATCAGATTTGGTCCGGTCTGGACCGGTCTTGATTTGGCCCAAACATAGACGTCTATAATTGGTTCAGATTTGGACAAAATCTGAACCAATCAAATACATCTATGTTTCACAAGTTTGGACAGTACATTACATCACAATAGAGCTCAGTAGAGCCGAATACAATACATTACAACAGCGGTTCCCAAACTGTGAGGTCGTCAGGCAGGGCACGGGGGTCCCCCCTCCCAAAATAAATAAATAATAATAATAATAATTTTAAGGAACTCAGTCCAGCTTTGAAAGTTGTAATAGTAGAATGCACAAGCTGCAATTTCAAAATTGGGTAGTGCATTATCAGTTTTCCTCTTGTCATGTTAGTCATTGCATACCTTAGAAAGCTATTTATAACTTGTCAGAAATGTCCAGATCAACTAGCCCATGTCAGCTAACGTTTTTTAGCTAGGTTTTTTAGCCCATAGATTTTGTTGTAATGTTTGAGTCACTCAAATATCACATGAATACACATTAGACATGGCAAAATGTATAGAATTGCAAGAGAATTAGCTTTCATTCAGCACCTAATGCACCTGATGTCAACGTCTGGAAAATACATCTGAAATATATGTTCCAGCGCTCAGAATGGCTACTTACTGGGATATGCCTAAATATACCGTTGATGATAAGGGTTAATGCCCTCTTCATATTTCTTGACCCTCTTATTTATCGTCATATTTCATTCAATATGTCCCAGTGAAGCATGCCATCGATAGGATAACCAGGTATCCAGACAGCCTCAACCCACATTATTCGAGTGTGTATGGTTGGGGTAGATGTGTAGTGCGTAAAAGTAGTGGGAAAATACATAGGGAATGGGCTTTAGCCAACCCATCAAGACACATAGCATTTTTCATCCAATTACAATTGAGGCAGGATTGCAAGGGGTGGATGCAATCCCCTTTTTAATCATGACTGTGATATCAGAGCCAATAGAGTGTGAAGGAGGGCGGAGCACACCATTCTATGTCTGACAGCTGCGAAATAGAAAATGTTTAGCACATAGCCACAGGCACCTTGCTGCAAATAGGCAACCATCACTATAGCCTAATGCAAAGAAATCAGTATGGATATCCACATGTGCGATGAAGAACAAAATTGTATGCAACACGGGGGTTAAAAAAGATAAGGAGTGGAGCAAGAACCTTTTTGTAAAATAAATATTGAAAGTAATTCAGGTTTTTCTATCAAACCATTGGAAGAGGATTTGGAACCATGTACCATGCCTTTTCTTTCCCAATGACTGCGGAGCGCAGTCGGAATAAGGAGCGCCTGGAGGCCAGTCTGGCCGGACTCTGTGAGCTGGAGCTCCGCAAGCAGAGGCAGGAGTGCCTGGTCCTCGGTGCTCTGTCCCTGGGGGAGCCCATGCTCGAAAATTCCACAAGGAACAAGCTATCTGGTTTCAACAGCTGGGGGCAAGATAACTTGACATTGAGACGTCAACTGGTAAGAAGTTAGAGAGATGGGGGTAGTTTGGACATTGTTGCTTTTTTATCTGGCAAATAGGTACGCTAATATACTTCGTAGAAACATTGTTCCAGAGCGCAGAATGGCTACTCGCCAAGGGTGGTCGGTCGCCACCGCGATTAACCCCCATTGTACCCCTAGGCTCTACATGGAGGGATAGGCTACATAGCCTATATAAAATACGTTAAAAAAAATGTTTACGGTTAGTGGACAATGCATTGGTGGGGTGCGCCTATTGCTCAGCGACGACACTTATCTGCAAGAAAAGTTACTTAACTTGATTAATGGTATCCCCATCTGAAAGGATCTAATCGTTCCCATCCTTCGGGCGCAGATTTATGCCTTGGGGTAACGAAATGGGGGGTGGAGCGGTCCACGGTTTAACGACCCATTGTTCCCTGCATGATCCCTGCATGACCAGAGATTTATGTTGTATTTTACTTAGCAAGTGTTTATACCTATTAATTCGTCGACTTTTCTTTTTCAAATTCGTTTATAACGGGAGATGATGGGCTATGTGAATAGTTACATTTCTATTAAATCAATTTTGATAGGCCTATGTCTTTATATGATATTAATAGCATAGCATCATATATAATTTAGATATAAGTTTTAAGGCACGTTTCTTTAGCCTGTGGAGATTTTCGACGTCCTTACGGGAACTAGCCTATAGGCAAGGATGGATTATGCTGCCAGAGGTGGGCGTGATGCGTGTCCCACCACTCAAGAGAATCCGACCATCCAACCCATGTTATCCCAAATAATAATAAAAAAGATCTCTAGCTATCCATGATGGAAACTATTACACATGCATAGCATTAGCCTATTATAGAGACAATGGGCTTAAAAAATAAATAAAACATATCTTCAAACAATACATGTTTTCTTTGGAATGAATGGGATGTCACAATTTTCTCCTTATGCCCAACTTTCTCCCTCTATCCTTCAAAAAAAAAGACTCACAGGCTTAGTAGCCTTCAGACTACACTACACCCTCGACTCGCACACGGCCCACTGTCTTCAGTAGAAAGCTCCTATCAACGATGGTGAAATAAATTAAATCAGCCGCGTTATCCTCCTCCAGCCTCCCCCCGAGTTCCTCTCCTCTGCCGCGGCCCAAACAATAGGCGCATATGGAGCGGAATACTAATGAACCCGAGGGCCTTGGTGCGCAGACAGGGGAATCATGCCGCCACTTTGAAAGCACAACTGTAACAGATCACCAATGAGATGTCAACGCAGAACAAACTGGCTCCGCTTCGAAGGAGTGGTAAAGACTATTTCTTAGACTGTGCGTGGAGTGACTGCCCCTAAATGCCGCATATATTCTCACAATGTGCAGTGCGCATTTCATCAAATCATTCCGGTTGGTCCATTTGAGGGATCTGTCATTTGGATCGATGGATATTAACTACATTGTCGATCCATGCAAATTCATTGGAGGTTATTGGTTGGAGAATTATCTGACATCAAGGTCTAATTGAACCACCTTTATTCAGCCCATCTACCCAAACATCACTTCTCCGTGTGTCACCACTGGACCCAATCTCATATTGCATGTAGAGAGTCTATGTTGTGTGGAGGCTTTAAGGCAGGTTCACACAGAAGCAGCTGACCCATGCTGCCCTCTCCTGTCCTGTCTATAGGCCATTGGCCCAGTGTGGAGGTGCTGACAGACATGCCATGCCAGACAGCAGCTGGTAAAGCACAAGACATTGACTGCACTCTGAGACACCCTGCTGTGTGTGTTTGGAGATCTCAAGCATTAGCAAGCCTGTGTGTGTGTTCATATGTACTGTATGTGCATGTGCTTACGTGTGTGTGTGTGTGTGTGTGTGTGTGTGTGTGTGTGTGTGTGTGTGTGTGCATACAGCTGCGTCGCTATTGATCTATGTGCTTGGCCTCAGTTTGTGGTGATTTGGGCATGTCTAAGACGCCGTGTGCCCCTGTGTCTTCCGTAGAGTGCCACATCATTAGTGAGAGTACCCCTCTCAGCAGTGAGTGACTGATGTCTGGGTGGGTGAGAGCGTCCTGGGCCTTTGTCCCTTAACATCCCCCTTCTTCATTAGCCAGCTTCCCCCTGAGCTGGAGGCTCTTAGCAGCTGTGTCACCTGAGCACTGACTGACTGATTGGGAAGTCAAGCTGGATAGAGTCCATTCAGAGCCAGTTGTCTCTGCTGGGGAGGCAGGCCACGGAGGCCAGAGTATGCAGCTTGCATGCCCCATTCACGCCTGTTATGTAAACATGCATGCACATGCATGCGTGTGTGTGCTTGTGTCTGTGTGTGAACGGTGGCTTAGTCAAGCGGTGGAGTAGTGGGGGCCAGGGTGGTGTTGTGTAGCAGTAGTTTCCGGCCTCCCACAGTCCTCTCCCTTTGGTGCCAGTCACAACATTGCTTTAATTATAGAGGGGCTGTGTGCCCGATTCCATGGCTCCCCGTCTCACTGCCACCGAAGCTGCCTGGCTTCTCCCCTTCCCATCCCCCTCTCCTACGGAGAGAGCACAGGATGCAATAACATAGTAATGACACCAGGCAGTGTGCGGTATGAGACCTGGGAGCCAGGAGGCGTCAATTAATAGTGCAGCAGAATCAAAGGTATCGTCATGAAAGGGAACCCGCCTGAGACCCCTCCAGAGCTACACACTCTGGAAGTCAGCAGTATGTTTACTGTGTGTTTGTTTGTGTGTCCTCAAAGATTTGTTTGTGTTCTGTGTCATTACATTTGAATTAGCCAGCCTGTCACAGTGTCTGCTAGTTCTAGATCCACGTGAGCCTAGCATGTCGGAGGACCTAGGCCTAATGATCCATTGTGTGAAAGTGTGTCACGGATAAATTGATTTCCAATACACTCTCTTCCTCTCTCTCTTTCTTTCCTACCTTCCTTGTGTTCTTTCTTTTCTCGCACTCAGGTTGCTATAAAACCTAGAGATCTCTTCCACTTTCCTATTAGTAACCACCATAATACAATGATTTTGTATTTGATATTAGCTTAGTGGCAGAAAACATCTCTCCAATAGGTTTTATTGCATAATGGATGCTTAGGCAGACAGTCTGGCTTGGGTCTTTTGGCTGTTCACAAACACAGAACTGCTATCACACTGATCTATTCTAGTCTGCCTTAGACAAAGGACCCAGAATCCCAGCAATTATTCCAGCGCTGCTGAGTGACTAAAAAAGCAGCCATCCTCATAACCAGATATGTTGCTGCTTGTTTTTTTTTTACTCAGCATCCATCTGGTGGTCCTCTGTAGCTCAATTGGTAGAGCATGGCGCTTGTAACACCAGGGTAGTGGGTTCAATCCCCGGAACCACCCATACGTAAAAATGTATGCACACATGACTGTAAGTCGCTTTGGATAAAAGCGTCTGCTAAATGGCATATTATTATTATCTGAATAGGAAAGTTGGGATCTACAGTATGTGGTGTGTTTTTATACAGTCTAGCTAACATACTGTACGCTCATTTAATTCAAGGAATAATTTCCCCTCCCCGCCACATCCTGATGGAGGCAGCTTGCTGCTGAAACCCTGGTCACTTTTAATAAATAATTTGTATCCCAGCAGTGTACAGCTACATCCTTTTTTAAGTAAGCCCCTTCCACACACACACACACACACACACACACACACACACACACACACACACACACACACTCAGACACACACACACACAAACACTGTGCATAAAGCGACTCCTGTCAGTTGTCTAACAGCCTCTCCATCCCCAAGACTCTGTAATTTAGAGTGTCACATCATTTTGCTGATGTCTTTTAATGACATAATTTAATGTAGCAAGAGTCATAACAGGCAAATTGAAGTGTGTGAGTGTGTGTGTGTGCGTGTGCGTGTGTGTGTGCTGGGGAGGCCATGTGTAGCTAGTGTTTGTTGGCTGTGAGTGCTACTCAGATGACCTGCAATTGCCTGGCTGATTGAACAAGCATGTCCAATTGCACATTTTCCTCCTCCCCTGGTGTATGATGTGTGTCCTGCTGCGTGTGCATCCACAAAAAGAACATCTCAACACAGTTCCCAGAACAGTGAATCATTCATGTTCCAGCTGGCTGCATCCTCAGGTATCTTACGTAACTGGGATGGGGCTATAGGAGCATGCATTTAGCCCATGCAGCCATGCACACTGATGTCTATAGGCCTATACTACTGCCACTATCCAAAGGTGGGAAGAAAACATTCTTTATAAGGTTATCTGTTTAAGGTTAATCGTGTGTTTTGGTCTTCCAATTAAATGGATGAAAAATTACTACACTTGGTCATAATTCACATTGACTTATAATGATGTATGTCTTGGGGTGTGTGTGATCATGCCTGTGTGTTGGTCTGTTTCAGAGTGCGCTCCAGAGCTCCCCCTGGGGTAAGATGCTGGCACTGGAACAGCAGGTGGGCGAGCTGAGAGTGGACACAGATGACGTCACCTATGAGGGGACCCAAGGGAACACGGGGGACAGTCGGCCCAGCTCAGGTACTCCTCATGCTACCACTTCTCAATTTCTGACCTCTGAACTTGAACCCCTGAACCACATCAGAGGGGCATGGAGTACTTATATTTTTCTTAATGTAGACACTGTAATTTACCTTATTTTTGTGTGTGTATTTGACCCATGTTCTGTATATTTTCTGTATACTATTTTTACATGGATCGTGGCCCTACATTTCTTTGAAGTACATGTATAATGACTTTAACATTTAATTAGTTTTTGACAAATGTTGTTTTTATGCCCTACTTTCTACTGTTAGTGGTTCTGTGGTTTGTGAAAGAGCGGAGACGTTGAAAATTAGTTTAGTCAACATATGGTTTGAGAAAGCCTGAAAGAGCTGAGGTTTAATGCGTGACATCATCTGTGTTTGCCAGGGTTCTATGAGTCGAGTGAGGGCCAGTCTCCAAAGGGGCATTCCTGTCCCTCTGAGTTCCCAGAGCCCCCCCCTGGCTGGGGCTACAGCAGCACTGAGAGGCCCAAGTCTCTGAGTGAGTTCAGCTCGACTCTCACTATCAACAGTTCTCTTTCAACCCCAATAGGGTTCATGGTATCATAGAACAATACCATGGACTGTCTTAACTTTATTACATCATTATTAGAGTTGCATTAGGTACTGGTATCAGTAGTAAAGAGCAGCCTGGCGAACTCCATCTCCTCCTCCTCCAGCATCAACAGGCAGAGCAGCCTGCGAAGGAAACCCCCTCTTCACACCCCCGAGCACTGCATCCCTGACCCACAGGACCTCTACCCTGACCCTGAGTGCCAGGCCTGGGGGTGTGACCCTCTAGACGGGGAGGCGTGGGGGGTAGAGGCCCCATCCATGGAGGAGGACTGTTATCTGTCTTTACCCTACCCTCCCTCCAGACCCCACTCCCTGGCTGGGGGGCATCCACCCTCCCTGGACCCCCCTTGTGGAGCTCTGGACCCTTGTTTCAGTAGTGAGTCTGATTCCCCCCAGCACTACCTACTACCCCACTCCCCAGCTTCACATAACCACCTTGTCAGAGCCCAGTACATCCCTGGGCAGCCTTGCCACGCCCCTGTACGCTCCCCCTCACACTGTCCTCCAGAACACTCCCCCTCACATTATCCTCCAGAGCCTTCCAAGCCCAGCCGAACCTTTGTGTCCCCAGACCAAAGCAGCTCAAAGCCCAGAGCCACGGGGAAGAAGAGTCATGAGGAGAGACAGAGCTCCAAGAAGCCTGGCCACAAGACCTGCCGCTCCCAGTCTGAGAACAGTCTGATGGGGCAGAGGGCTTTCCCTAAGCGCAGGTTCAGCACAGCCGAGCGCCCCCAGAACCAGAGGGGCCAGGGTCCACACACAGGCCCCCAGCACAGCAACACCGCTGGGGGGCGACGCTGGTGCTCCACCCTGGAGCTCAGCCAGGAGGAAGGGAAGACCAAGGGTGAGCAGGCCCACAGATGCCCACATCGTAGGGCCCGCCTCACCCAGGCCTGCGCTCATCCCAACCCCAACCATCACTCCCAGGTCCATGCCCAGCCTCGCCTCTCAGAGTACCCAGAGAGAGCACCTCTGTGTCGTGGAGAGGACGGCTATGTGCAGGCTGACCCTGGGGAGTCAGAGTCCAGCATGAGTGAGGTGTACTCCCCTGCCTCCAGCTCCCTCTCCAGTGACTCCGATGAGGGGGGGCTGGTGTGGCCCCAGCAGCTGCCCCCTCGCCTGGCCCCCTCCTCTTCCTCCTCTTCCTCCTCCCATCAGGCCTCCTCAAAGGCCTCCTCGCAGCCCAAGGCCTTTGTTAAAATCAAAGCCTCTCATGCCCTGAAGAAGAAGATTCTGCGATTCCGCGCCGGCTCTCTCAAAGTCATGACCACAGTCTGAAAATATGTCTGTCACTGACTGCTTCTACTGCCCATATCCTGTACAGTTCAACCTACATCACCTACAGTTCACACCCTCTGTCTACCTCTGCTGGTCAGTGCAGCATTGTCATCAAATCAAAAGCTATTTTACCTTTAGGAAAAACTCAGATGTCTGTAACTGGCCTAAGCTCAGTATCATGATATCATCTAGCTAAACCACATTTCACCATCATCAGACTGTGCATTAACTCTGCATTAACCATGAATGTGTTTAATGAAAGTCATCCTCTGATGGTACCACTGCCATGTCACATATGTACACCTGAAAGTGAACCGCTACCTCTCTTCTCTCAGCTGCACCACCTTGCAGCCTGAACTTGAAGCCCATGTCTGTAGCACTGACCCTGTAGGGGGCGACTGCAGTGAGGGGTCAACACACACACTTCCGGCCTTGTTTGTATGAATGTAGTTTGTAAATAAAAAAATTATGGTCGCTTAGGCCATGTGTTTCATTTGACACTTTCTAGTATTCAACCTGGAATGGTGGACTCAATAATGCCTAATGGATATTTCTCACAAATAAATACAGTTATTTTCACATCAGATCTTTTTCAGAGCTGATCTGATTGGTCAAAGACCAATTAGTGAAAAATATCAGAATTGAGCTAACTGTGTTATATGTAGCCTCTCTCTGCCTAAACTGCTTTCAGTGTGCAATGTTGCATAACAGAATGTGTACATCACTGTCACCCCCCTGTTGTGTATCAGTAAAACTGCCTTAAACTTTGCTCAAAACATCTGCTGCATATTTTCATTGACCAAGTTATGAAAAAAAGTTGTTCATTCTAAGATTTTATGACATTATTCCATCACTTCTTGCATGATTGAGAGTATGGTATACTATCCCTAACCCAGGCCTTACCCTTTTTATTTTTATTAGGTTTTTTTTACAGTACCAGTCAAAAGTTTGGACACACCTACTAATGCAAGGGTTTTTCTTTATTTTTACTATTTTTTACATTGTAGAATAATAGTGAAGACATCAAAATTATGAAATAACACATATGGAATCATGTAGTAACCAAAAAAGTGTTAAACAAATTTTAAATTTGAGATTTTTGGTTACAACCGGCGTGTCTCTGTGAGACGTGGTGTGGGTAAACAGATAATCTCAGCATGTGTGGTTCCCACCGTAAAGCATGGAGGAGGAGGTGTTATGGTGGGGGGTGCTTTGCTGGTGATACTGTCTGTGATTTATTTAGAATTCAATGCCCACTTAACCAGCATGGCTACCACAGCATTCTGCAGCGATACGCCATCCCATCTGGTTTGGGCTTAGTGGGACTATCATTTGTTTTTTAACAGGACAATGACCCAACACACCTCCAGGCTGTGTAAAGGCTATTTTATCAAGAAGGAGAGTGATGGAGTGCTGCACCAGATTACTTGGCCTCCGCAACCACCCAACCTCAAACCAATTGAGATGGTTTGGGCTGAGTTGGACGGCAGAGTGAAGGAAAAGCAGCCAACAAGTGCTCAGCATATGTAGGAACTCTTTCAATATTGTTGGAAAAGCATTCCAGGTGAAGCTGGTTGAGAGAATGCCAAGAGTGTGCAAAGCTGTCATCAAGGCAAAGGGTGGCTATTTGAAGAATCTCAAATATAAAATATATTTTGATTTGTTTAACACTTTTTTGGTTACTACATGATTCCATATGTGTTATTTCATAGTTTTGATGTCTTCACTATTATTATACAATGTAGAAAATAGTAACAATAAAGAAAAACCCTTGAATGAGTAGGTGTGTCCAAACTTTTGACTGGTACTGTATGTCCCAAAGTTGAACCCCCTCGTCTTTAGGCAAGCACAGAGCACAGAGATTGTGAATGATAAACTATTTTGTCACACTTTATTTGGATAGTCTGGATTTTCCATCTGTAGATGCTCTATAGATGGTCATACTATCAACAAACTATCTGTTGATAAGCAACTGCCTCCTAAGCTTACAGTTAGAATTAGGTTTAGAATAAGGGTTAGGCTAAGGTTAGGGTTAGGGCTAGGGTTAGGGTAAGGGTTAAGTTTAAGGTTAGGATAAGGGTTAAGGTTAGGGTTAGTAGATAGTCAGTTGAATTGTTACTGATAGTCTATAGAGCATCTACATATAGACTATCCAAATAAAGCGTTACCAACTATTTCAAAGTGGCACCAGTGAACTGTATTTCTAGGGAATGCAGGGGTGATTTATTGAGAAAATGGCACTGTTGATTACTACATGATATGTGAAAGAGAATGTCTGCTTTTTCCAGTGGGGAAAAAAAGGATTTAGTCAGCCACCAATTGTGCAAGTTTTCCCACTTAAAAAGATGAGAGAGGCCTGTAATTTTCATCATAGGTACACGTCAACTATGACAGACAAAATGAGAATTTTTTTCTCCAGAAAATCACATTGTAGGATTTTTAATGAATTTATTTGCAAATTATGGTGGAAAATAAGTATTTGGTCACCTACAAACAAGCAAGATTTCTGGCTCTCACAGACCTGTAACTTCTTATTTAAGAGGCTCCTCTGTCCTCCACTCGTTACCTCTATTAATGGCACCTGTTTGAACTTGTTATCAGTATAAAAGACACCTGTCCACAACCTCAAACAGTCACACTCCAAACTCCACTATGACCAAGACCAAAGAGCTGTCAAAGGACACCAGAAACAAAATTGTAGACCTGCACCAGGCTGGGAAGACTGATTCTGCAATAGTTAATCAGCTTGGTTTGAAGAAATCAACTGTGGGAGCAATTATTAGGAAATGGAAGACATACAAGACCACTGATAATCTCCCTCGATCTGGGGCTCCACGCAAGATCTCACCCCGTGGGGTCAAAATGATCACAAGAACGGTGAGCAAAAATCCCAGAACCACACGGGGGGACCTAGTGAATGACCTGCAGAGAGCTGGGACCAAAGTAACAAAGCCTACCATCAGTAACACACTACGCCGCCAGGGACTCAAATCCTGCAGTGCCAGACGTGTCCCCCTGCTTAAGCCAGTACATGTCCAGGCCCGACTGAAGTTTGCTAGAGTGCATTTGGATGATCCAGAAGAGGATTGGGAGAATGTCATATGGTCAGATGAAACCAAAATAGAACTTTTTGGTAAAAACTCAACTCGTCGTGTTTGGAGGACAAAGAATGCCTAGTTGCATCCAAAGAACACCATACCTACTGTGAAGCATGGGGTTGGAAACATCATGCTTTGGGGCTGTTTTTCTGCAAAGGGACCAGGACGACTGATCCGTGTAAAGGAAAGAATGAATGGGGCCATGTATCGTGAGATTTTGAGTGAAAACCTCCTTCCATCAGCAAGGGCATTGAAGATGAAACGTGGCTGGGTCTTTCAGCATGACAATGATCCCAAACACACCGCCCGGGCAACGAAGGAGTGGCTTCGTAAGAAGCATTTCATGGTCCTGGAGTGGCCTAGCCAGTCTCCAGATCTCAACCCCATAGAAAATCTTTGGAGGGAGTTGAAAGTCTGTGTTGCCCAGCGACAGCCCCAAAACATCACTGCTCTAGAGGAGATCTGCATGGAGGAATGGGCCAAAATACCAGCAACAGTGTGTGAAAACGTTTTGAAGACTTACAGAAAACGTTTGACCTGTGTCATTGCCAACAAAGGGTATATAACAAAGTATTGAGAAACTTTTGTTATTGACCAAATACTTATTTTCCACCATAATTTGCAAATAAATTCATAAAAAATCCTACAATGTGATTTTCTGGATTTTATTTTCTCATTTTGTCTGTCAAGTTTCTGGATTAGAGTTTCTGAACTCCCTCATCTTTAGGCAAGCACAGAGAACAGAGATTGTGAATGATAAGCAATTTCAAAGTGGCACTCCAGTGAACTGTATTTCTAGGGAATGCAGGTGTGATTTATTGAGAAAGTTGCACTGCTGATTACCACAGATGATATCTGAAAGAGAGAGCTTATCACAGTAGTGGCAGAGAGGAAGAAGACATGGGTGTGGGATGACATGATGAAAGACACCAAAAAAGCATTTTAAAGAGCAACTTGGTTAATACATGTATTTATTTTCTTATTTTTCGTTTTTTAACACAATTCACTTCTGATGTGCTCATTAACAGTTCTTGTTATTATCTGAGGGCTAAAACATGACATATTTGTCAAAATGACATATCTATGAAAATGAACTAAAATCTAAACTACGGCCTAGATCAGGGGTGTCAAACTCATTTTAGCTCAGGGGCCACATGGAGGAAAATCTATTCCCAAGTGGGCCGGACCGGAAAAATCATGGTATATATAACTTAAAAACAACAACTTCAGATTGTTTTCTTTGTTTTAATACGATCAACATACAACATAAAGCTGGAGCCTGAGGACAGTGTGTCCAAAATAGTACAAGCACAACATCACTATTAATCATAAAACACGTCAAGTTTATTAGAAAATTCTAAAGAAAAAGAACACACAAACACACAATGCCTCAGTGATTAACAGAACTGTTTCACAGATCACAGAACTATATCAGGGTGTCATTTCTCAGGCAGAAATGTAGATAAAAATAATGAAATCCTGTTCCCAAAACAAGTGCAAGAACCACAGAGTCAAGAATAGGTTAAATATACAAATAAAATAAAATCAATTAAAAACAATAGCACATCAACATAAAAACATATAAACATAAAGCTGGAGCCTGAGGACAGTGTCCAAAAGCACAACATCACTATTAATCATAAAACACCTCAAGTTATTTGAAAGTTCTGAGGACAAAGAACACACAAACACACAATGCCTCAGTGATTCACAGAAGTATATCACAGATCACAGAACTATATCAGGGTGTCATTTCTCAGGCAGAAATGTAGATAAAAATAATGAAATCCTGTTCCCCAAACAAGTGCAAGAACCACAGAGTCAAGAATAGGTTAAATATACAAATAAAATAAAATCAATTAAAAACAATAGCACATCAACATAAAAACATAAAAACATAAATCTGAAAGCGTTGCTCAAACTCCCGTAACAGTCCCGTTATTTTATCTTTGAACCGCTTCATGTCTGCCACATGTTGGGTCGCGCACACATTTTTCAGACAGGGGAAGTGAGCTGCATCACCACTGGCAAGTTGCGTCTCCCACAATGACAGCTTCAACTTGAAAGAACGTATGCTGTCATAATACTGCGTGACAACTTTGTTGTGCCCTTGCAGCTGTTTGTTCAAGTTATTCAGGTGCTCTGTAACATCCACCATAAATGCAAGGTCCTGCATCCATTCTGCGGAATGAAATTCTAACACTGGTTTGCCCTTTTCTTCCATGAACTGTTCAATTTCTTCTCGTAAATCAAAGAAACGCTTTAGCACAGCACCTCGGCTTAACCATCTTACCTCAGTGTGGTATGGCAGGCCATAGATGTGGTCTTTCTCTCTGAGAAGGCTGTCAAACTAACGGTGATTCAGGCTTCTGGATCGGATGAAATTAACAGTTTGGATGACCACCTTCATGACGTTATCCATCTTTAATGACTTGCAACACAAAGCCTCCTGGTGCAAAATACAGTGAAAAGTCAAAAAATCACGTCCTCCATTTGCAGATTGCACTTTCTCTCTGAACTTTGTCACAACGCCTGCTTTTTCCCCGATCATTGAGGGCGCACCATCTGTAGCCAGGCTGACAGCGCGGGACCAGTCCACTCCGACCCTGTCCAGCGCGCCGACGAGTGCGGTAAAAATATCAGCTGCTGTCGTTGTATCTGTCATCGGCACCAACTCCACGAACTCCTCGGTGACGTCAATGTGTCATCAACTCCGCGGATGAAAATGGCCAGTTGTGCAACATCTGTAATGTCCGTGCTTTCATCAATTGCAACCGAAAACGCAATAAATGACTTTACTTTTTGCTTCAACTGGCTGTCCAAATCCACTGAATGATCGGAAATCCTGTCTGCAACTGTGTTTCTTGTCAGGCTGATATTTGCAAAAGCCTGCCGCTTTTCAGGGCACACAATCTCCGCTGCCTTCATCATGCATGTTTTTACAAATTCACCCTCACTAAATGGTTTTGAAGCCACAGCGATTTCATTAGCAATGAGGTAGCTAGCTTTCACTGCAGCGTCACTGATGTCTCGGCTGTGAGTAAACACAGACTGCTGTTTCTTCAGACCCGCCAACAGTTCATTCACCTTCTCTCATCTCCGCTGTCCTTGAAAGTTGTCATATTTGTCGGCATGAAGACTCACATAGTGGCGACGAAGGTTATATTCTTTCAGCACTGCAACATGCTCCGAACACACCAAACATACAGCTTTCCCATTCAATTCCGTGAATAAATAGGATGACCATTTTTCTTGGAACACTCTGCACTCTGCGTCCACTTTTCTCTTTTTTGACAGAGACATATTGGGGCAATGAGGGTGCCAAAGCACATAATGTTAAAAGTAGAAGCCGTAATAAATATCGCGGGCAAAACAAAGTAGCTCATAGGCTGCACGTGCTTGACCTACTTGCTCTGCCCCGGTATAAACAGTTTGCTTGCTTAACACAATTGCTATTGCGCCATCCAGTGGACGCAATTGGAACAGCAGTTTATTTTATTGAAAAATTGCAGTGCATTTTTATACTTTACAAAATTATTATTACATTTTTTTATTTTTTTATTTTTTTATTTTTTTTTAATCATCTCGCGGGCCGGATTAAACCCGTTTGCGGGCCTGATCCGGCCCGCGGGCCGGACGTTTGACACCCCTGGCCTAGATTCAATCAGATCAAGAGTTAACAAACACCCACATAGCTGATGTTTTGGAGGTGTAAATGCGTTGAAGCTGTCAATTCGATGCTCTTGATCATTGTCACGAAGCCACACCTGTCCCACTTGCGTTAGGTTATATAAAAAATAATTATGCTTAAGTTGAAATTCATTAAACAAAATAATGAGGATTTCTATCAGCCTATCAAGGTGTAGATTACATCTCACATTCCACTGTTCCAATTTGTAAACTAGGCTGGATTTTCCATCTGTAGATGCTCTATAGATGGTCATACTATCAACAAACTATCTGTTGATAAGTAACTGCCTCCTAAGCTTACAGTTAGAATTAGGTTTAGAATAAGGGTTAGGCTAAGGTTAGGGTTAGGGCTAGGGTTAGGGTAAGGGTTAAGTTTAAGGTTAGGATAAGGGTTAAGGTTAGGGTTAGTACATAGTCAGTTGAATTGTTACTGATAGTCTATAGAGCATCTACATATAGACTATCCAAATAAAGTGTTACCAACTATTTCAAAGTGGCACCAGTGAACTGTATTTCTAGGGAATGCAGGGGTGATTTATTGAGAAAATGGCACTGTTGATTACTACATGATATGTGAAAGAGAATGTCCGCTTAATGTATAATGCCAGGAGCCGCTTGTGGATTTAACAGGTCTAACACAGTTCCACCTCCGACATGCCAAAACAACCGCTATGGGGATATCAGCTAAAGCGGATCTGATTGAATAGAGCCCTTAAATACAGATAAAGCCAAACGTAATTGCACAAGTGTGATTGCTGGCGGAAACATATTGCAGAGAGGGCAGGGGTTCCTGTTCTGTTGCATAACACTGGGTTCAAGTTTCTGGATTAGAGTTTCTGAACTCCCTCATCTTTAGGCAAGCACAGAGAACAGAGATTGTGAATGATAAGCAATTTCAAAGTGGCACTCCAGTGAACTGTATTTCTAGGTGTGATTTATTGAGAAAGTTGCACTGCTGATTACCACAGATGATATCTGAAAGAGAGAGCTTATCACAGTAGTGGCAGAGAGGAAGAAGACATGGGTGTGGGATGACATGATGAAAGACACCAAAAAAGCATTTTAAAGAGCAACTTGGTTTATACATGTATTTATTTTCTTATTTTTTAACACAATTCACTTCTGATGTGCTCATTAACAGTTCTTGTTATTATCTGAGGGCTAAAACATGACATATTTGTCAAAATGACATATCTATGAAAATGAACTAAAATCTAAACTACGGCCTAGATTCAATCAGATCAAGAGTTAACAAACACCCACATAGCTGATGTTTTGGAGGTGTAAATGCGTTGGAGCTGTCAATTCGGTGAGCAGCTGCTCTTGATCATTGTCACGAAGCCACACCTGTCCCACTTGCGTTAGGCTATATAAAAAATAATTATGCTTAAGTTGAAATTCATTAAACGAAATAATGAGGATTTCTATCAGCCTATCAAGGTGTAGATTACATCTCACATTCCACTGTTCCAACTTGTAAACTAGGCTGCATGGGATTTCTCTTAATGCGACTCCCTGCAGCAAATGGCAATGTCCGCTTTAGGTATAATACCAGGAGCCGCTTGTGGATTTAACAGCTCTAACGCAGTTCCACCTCTGACACACACACACACACACACACACACACACACACACACACACACTACATTTAAGTCATTTAGCAGACGCTCTTATCCAGAGCGACTTACAGCTAGTGCATACATTATTTTTTGTTCATACCCCCCATGGGAATCGAACCCACAACCCTGGCGTTGCAAACACCATGCTCTACCAACTGAGCTACATCCCTGCCGGCCATTCCCTCCCCTACCCTGGGCCAATTGTGCGCCGCCACATGGGTCTCCCGGTCGCAGCCGGCTACGACAGAGCCTGGATTCAAACCAGGATCTCTAGTAGCACAGCTAGCACTGCGATGCAGTGCCTTAGACCACTGTGCCACTCGGGAGGCCACACATAATATTAATCTCTTGGGTTCTTCCTGATGTGCTCTTGGACTTGCTCTGTCTGGATACCGGCTCCTCGGTGACGAAGTTGAACATACTGCGCATACTCTTCTTAAAGCCTCGTCCCAGACACACATATAGCAGAGGGTTGAAGCAGCTGTTACAGTAGGCCAGACAGAGGGCCAGGGTGTGGGCCAGCTGTACGTTGGCGCTGTGCGATGAGTGTCGGGGGGTCGATAGAACCAGGAAGTCCAGCATGTGCAGTGGAATCAAGCACAGGAAGAAGCTCAGTGACACGGCAACAATGACCCTCAAGGTGCGTCTGGAGCGCACCTCACTCACCATCCCTGACCCCACCCCAGACCCCCGTCCGGCCCTGCTGTACACAACCCAATGACACGCCACGATGGTGACGAATGGCAGCACGAAACCCACCAGGAAGCGTACTGTAGTGATAGCCCAGCCACTGGCTACAGTGTAAGATTCCAGGCATTCTGACTTACTGGTGCTTAACTGGACCTCCTTCATATGGACAAACTGGGGGATGCTGCCCAGCAGAGCCAGGAGCCACACCCCGACACATACCCAGCCGGCCTTGCGAGGCCTCCTCCAGTTCTGGCACCACACGGGCCGGCTGACCAGCAGCCAGCGGTCCAGGCTGATGAGTACCAGCAGCAGCACGCTACAGTACATGACCAGGTAGATGAGGCCCTTGAGCAGCTTGCAGGCCACAGGGCCAAAGGGCCAGTGCTGGTCCATGGCCAGGGGCACCATGAGGAGGGGCAGGGACAGGCAGCACAGCAGGTCAGCCAGGGCCAGGTTGAGGAACCACAGAGAGGTGACGGAGCGCGGCATGCGGAAGCCCGTCACCCACACCACCAGAGCGTTGCCCGGGACCCCAAGCAGGAAGACCAAGCCATAGAACACCAGGGCGGAGAGGTGACGGAGCCCCAGCATAGGACCAGGGTCCTCAGGCTTGACAAATTCACAATCAGTGATGTTGTAGAAGCTCATCTCCTCATCCGTGAAAATCGAGCACAAATGAAGGTAATCATCCATGCTTGGAGGTGACTGTTGAGGGGAAGGGAAAATACAGTAATATGATAGTTACTATAATAGAATTGTATCAATACAATAATACAGGGATTCTTGAAAGACGGAACAAAAATGTTTTTTCACAAATATTTTTCCTAGTATATATTTTCATAGGATGTATATAAACTCCGTCAGACACCTTAAAAGGCATTTCATTTTTACATGTATTGTCCAACAAGTGTTTAAAGGCCTTGATTGTTTAATGATAACATTAGATTATTCAAATATGTAATACAAATCTCCAAACTTCTTTTTGTTTTATTTTATAGTACTATATGCATGTTTTTCTAGATTCAGAACATTAAACAACATCTATAAAGCAAACATTATCCCTTAGATCTAGCACAGCAAATACAATAGTTTAAGCATATGTTGCAGAACAGTGATTCAATATTTTGTCAGAATAAAACAAAAAATTAACTATCTTAAGTGGTTAGCCACGGAGTTGACATATTTTTGCCTCTAAAAATAAAAGTTCAATATAATTATTTGTAAAATATAGAAAATTATTCATTTGAAAATTTCCAATAAAAACATTTTGTCATATCTTTTAGCACTCTGACGGAGTTAACGTTAGATGAGTTTATGTTTTACGGAGTTGACAAAAATTAATTTTTCTTCTTCATTCAAGTGGTATACAAAGTAGCAATTTTGTTTTCCCTCAGTTGCTTTATGACTCCAAAACCTAATATCCTATATTAATCTATACTGAACAAAAATATAAATGCAACATGCAACAATTTCATTGATTTTACTAAGTTACAGTTCATATGAGGAAATCAGTCCATTTAAATGAATTAATTAGGCCCTAATCTATGGATTTCACATGACTGGGAATGCAGATATGCATCAGTTGGTCACAGATACCTTTTAAAAAATGGGCCTCACAATTGTCCTCAGGATCTCGTCACTGTATTTTTGTGCATTCAAATTGCCATAGATAAAATACAATTGTGTTTGTTGTCCGTAGCTTATGCCTGCCAATACCATAACCCAACCGCCACCATGGGGCATTCTGTTCACAACATTGACATCAGCAAAATGCTCGCCGATACAACGCCATACACATGGTCTACGGTTGAGAGGCCAGTTGGACGTACTGCCAAATTCTCTAAAACAAGGTTGGAGGCGGCTTATGGTAGAGAAATTAATATTCAATTATCTGGCAACAGCTCTGATGGACATTCCTGCAGTCAGCATGCCAATTGCAGGCTCCCTCAAAACTTGAGACATCTGTGGCATTGTGTTGTGTGACAAAACTGCACATTTTAGAGTGGCCTTTTATTGTCCCCAGCACAAGGTGCACCTGTGTAATGATCATGCTGTTTAATCAGCTTCTTGATATGCCACACCTATCAGGTGGATGGATTATCTTGGCAAAGGAGAAATGCTCACTAACAGGGATGTAAACATTTTAGAGAAATACGCTTTTTGTTCCATACACTTTTTGTGCGTATGGAACATTTCTGGGATATTTTATTTCAGCTCATGAAACATGGGACCAACACTTTACATGTTGCGTTTATATTTTGTTCAATGATAAGGGAGATGGAGTTGACAGATTATGGTTGTGACCATGGTGATTTCAATATTGTTTTTTCAATTCTATCAAAAGTAGAGAACTTTACAGACCATGAGTGGTCGTGTTGCACTATGTAATGAGAACATGAAGAAGGGGTCCTTATGGGGTAGCTGACCCTGCTCATTCCTGATTAATTTAGGATTTCAGACTAATCTGACGGAGGTGACCAACGGCTCTATTCAATCTGTATCATTGCAGCGTAACAGATTGCTCGCTAGAAATGTTAAGGTAATTTCTGTTTAAGCCGAATGTTTAAACATTGCCTTTAAATTTAAATCACGTTGTAACTATGAACTTCCACGATACGTATTGAATAGCGCCCCAAATAATTTTTTAGGAACCACAGTTTTGAGATAAATATTATTTAAAGTCAGATAGGGCTATTACAAGAAATTAAATAAGATCCCTTTTCAGTTCATATTAATTATTGCTCGTTTTTAGGAGAGTTTGAAATTGGGATCCTTTGCTCCGGACAAGGGTATTTCCATGCATAGAGCCCACATGGGAATGAATAATATTGAAAATATTTTGACATTTCCAAAGGTAAATCTTTCCCCTTATAAAAGGATTGTCCCATCTTTCAAGAATCCCTGAATTTAGAATGGTATAATTGTTTAAGCATTGAAAGCAATATATTTTTACCATTGCATACTATTGTGATGACTAACTGCTATTGTTTTTTCACTCAAAGTATTTTAAAGATTTAATCCGTAAGTGTCCATATCAAGACCAAAATAAATAACCATAGGACTATTTTTTTTAATGTATTTTTATTTAACTAGGCAAGTTCTTATTTACAATGACAGCCTACCCCGGCCAAACACAGACAACTCTGGGCCAATTGTACGCCGCCCCATAGGACTCCCAATCACAGCAGGATTGTGATACAGCCTGGAATCGAAACAGGGTCTGTAGTGACACCTCTAGCACTGCAATGCAGTGCCTTAGACCGCTGTGCCACTCGGGTAATGTCATTAATGCTGGATTGGCTTAGTTGTGATAACAGGGTTTAACAGGATTTGAAACACACTTTATAAAGTGACTCAAGACCAGTCAGCATTTTACATAACAGTATGACATTTAAAAGTCATCATTCAAGTGCAAAATACCTCTAAAATGAAATAATTTGAATCAGATAATCAATCACCAAACACTGTAAAGTTAAGGTTACAATAAAGGTTGTACTTTACCTTAGATGTCAGACTTATGGCTCAGACGTCCTGTAGTTGATGACTCTGCACACACTAAGAAAAAATAGGAACTGTTCTTCTTTTGCATTTCTGTCCACAGGTCCCTCAGCCAATCATAACATCACCTCCTTATGATCAGGAATTCAAAAAATGTCAACGCATTGCCAAATATAGGCATGCAGATACATTGTAGCCTAGGCCTACTTCTGATCAGATAGAAAATATAATACTTTTCAGAAACCTCTGAAAGGTAAATTAAGTAATGTGGTGTATACTGTATATACTTGTGCATAGCTTATCAGATTTTTTTTCTCCCAAAATAATTTCCCCAGAGCCACATAGCTAATGTTAGCACCTATTGCTATCATTGTTATGTTCACAGCAAACCTTTATTGTTAGTCATTATGGGTATCACAGTACTGTTACATAAAATATGTTATATTTGTTTTATATTTACAATTTGCTAGGAGGCCAAAGCTATACACATATATGTTAAGTATGATGACAGCACCTGTACTGCAAATATGTTTAATATATACAGTGAGGGAAAAAAATATTTGATCCCCGGCTGATTTTGTACGTTTGCCCACTGACAAAGAAATGATCAGTCTATAATTTTTATGGTAGGTTTATTTGAACAGCGAGAGACAGAATAACAACAAAAACATCCAGAAAAACGCATGTCAAAAATGTTATAAATTGATTTGCATTTTAATGAGGGAAATAAGTATTTGACCCCCTCTCAATCAGAAAGATTTCTGGCTCCCAGGTGTCTTTTATACAGGTAACGAGCTGAGATTAGGAGCACACTCTTAAAGGGAGTGCTCCTAATCTCACCTTGTTACCTGTATAAAAGATACCTGCAATCAATCAATCAGATTCCAAACTCTCCACCATGGCCAAGACCAAAGAGCTCTCCAATGATGTCAGGAACAAGATTGTAGACCTACACAAGGCTGGAATGGGCTACAAGACCATCGCCAAGCAGCTTGGTGAGAAGGTGACAACAGTTGGTGCAATTATTCGCAAATGGAAGAAACACAAAATAACTGTCAATCTCCCTCGGCCTGGGGCTCCATGCAAGATCTCACCTCGTGGAGTTGCAATGATCATGAGAACGGTGAGGAATCAGCCCAGAACTACACGGGAAGATCTTGTCAATGATCTCAAGGCAGCTGGGACCATAGTCACCAAGAAAACAATTGGTAACACACTATGCCGTGAAGGACTGAAATCCTGCAGCGCCCGCAAGGTCCCTCTGCTCAAGAAAGCACATATACATGCCCGTCTGAAGTTTGCCAATAAACATCTGAATGATTCAGAGGAGAACTGGGTGAAAGTGTTGTGGTCAGATGAGACCAAAATCGAGCTCTTTGAAATCAACTCAACTCACTGTGTTTGGAGGAGGAGGAATGCTGCCTATGACCCCAAGAACACTATCCCCACCGTCAAACATGGAGGTGGAAACATTATGCTTTGGGGGTGTTTTTCTGCTAAGGGGACAGGACAACTTTACCGCATCAAAGGGACGATGGACGGGGCCATGTACCATCAAATCTTGGGTGAGAACCTCCTTCCCTCAGCCAGGGCATTGAAAATTGGTAGTGGATGGGTATTCCAGCATGACAATGACCCAAAACACACGGCTAAGGCAACAAAGGAGTGGCTCAAGAAGAAGCACATTAAGGTCCTGGAGTGGCCTACCCAGTCTCCAGACCTTAATCCCATAGAAAATCTGTGGAGGAAGCTGAAGGTTAGAGTTGCCAAACGTCAGCCTCGAAACCTTAATGACTTGGAGAAGATCTGCAAAGAGAAGTGGACAAAATCCCTCCTGAGATGTGTGCAAACCTGGTGGCCAACTACAAGAAACATCTGACCTCTGTGATTGCCAACAAGGGTTTTGCCACCAAGTACTAAATCATGTTTTGCAGAGGGGTCAAATACTTATTTCCCTCATTAAAATGCAAATCAATTTATAACATTTTTGACATGCGTTTTTCTGGATTTTTTTGTTGTTATTCTGTCTCTCACTGTTCAAATAAACCTACCATTAAAATTATAGACTGATCATTTCTTTGTGAGTGGGCAAACGTACAAAATCAGCCGGGGATCAAATACGTTTTTCCCTCACTGTAGATGTATCTCAGTGGAGGCTGCTGAGGGGAGGACGGCTCATAATAATGGCTGGAACGGAGTCAATGGAA